TTGGAAAGATGGAAAAGAAGCCAAGAGAGGGCGGAGGCCTTTACTGGCACACTCACTGCTGTATTCTTGCCAAAGGTGGTAGCTATTTTGATCAAACAGTAAGCGAGATAGCAAGAATATGAAAAGGATATTAAACCTCATAAACACAAGATGATGGTAGAAGGTCTTAAATAGGGAAGAAAATACCATTATTTAATCACAGTATATAGTATCAATAACTTAATTATGGCAAATGGTTGGGCTTACCATCCCTTCTGCAGTGCTTCTGAGAGCCTACATGTGTTCAGGAATGGAACTCTGTTTGGGCTTGGGGATGGCAACTGTCTGTCTAAATCATCTTTATAAGGATTCAGGCACCTGTGTATTGTAGGTGTCCAGACTGGCACAATTCTGTATGAGAAGTCATCATGTGTATGATCCTCAGCATCCTCTTGATTATCAGCCACAGCCAAGATGAAGTTTTGGCATACCCTACTGCTTTCCTGCAGAGCTCATCAAAAGGGCACGTGATTTAAGCTCTGCCAACTGTCCCAGTTCGTACAGTTCTTTTCTTGAAAGCCATTTTCCTATGTTTTGTCCTAATATAAGACAGCACAACATTCTTGTTGCCTCCTAAGCAGTATCCCTATCAATTTCCATCAGAACATCTATGTCTTGTTTTAGATTCTCTGTATCTTTGTTGTTATCTCTCCTGAAGGCAGTGAACTAAATTTGACTTGACTGTGTCAGCACTGAAACATGGAAATAGCTTCTAGTCTCTAAAACCAGAGTCACACAAAATGCTTAGTCCTGCTCCTTGGGACAGGATGCAAGGTAGAAGGAAGATGAGTAACTGTCAACATACGGCTCGTAGTATGATGTGACCACAAAAAATGCTGCTACTTTGTAATTTCCCAGAAGGTAAAATTACGAATGATTGCAGTTGGGCAAAAGTCACACAACACTTATACGAATTTCAGATTTTAAAACTTTGCTAAACATTTCTATTAGCACACAGAATTTAGGATAGTTACTAAAATTATAACTGCAATCAGGGAGCCATAGGACAAAAGAAAACTGCCTATTTGCCCATTAGCTGAGACAAATCCAAAGTTGGAAAAGCCTCAAACCTCTTAGCCTGAAATATTCCACTTTTCTGCAAGTACAAGAATAACACAATGAAAGAAGCAGATAAGCAAGAAGCAGCTACCTGGCATCATGATGTCTAGAACAAAAAGTCATGGCAAAAAAAATGTCAATTCTAATCCAGTTATATCAAAGTGATCACTCTACTAATAGCTGAACACTGAAAAGTAGTTATTACTCCTTCTCATTGCCATAGTTATTTGCAGTACTAATTTAAAGCATTTCCCCCTCCAGAGGATGGACAAAACTTTACATTAAGGTAACACTATATTCCTAAGAGAACCAATTCACAGCTTTATCTTACACGCACCACAGAATGGTGCCCCAACAGCTACTACTAGAGAGCTAACTGGTCCTGTACTTTAAGCCTAGTGGCTCATATTTAATCCAGAATTCTCATGGTGTTCCGATTTGAACACCAAACTTCAAGTTGTTTATGGCTTTGTTAATCTTCAGGACTCCTATCAGCTGAGAATTTTAACAGATTCTTCAATAAAATCTGAGAAAGGAGATCAGAGATCTTGTTCTATTGGCAAAGGTTAGAACAACTGGAAAGGAAGAGAAAATCTTCATAATTTTGTTCTGGAAGAAAGAGTTGACAGAAGTGGCTGCAAGGTATCAAAATGAGGAGAACATTTTCAGGATATATAAAGACAACTCTGTTGCCAATTCTGACTCAAATATTTCTTTAGACAATCACCACTGAGGTGCATACATTCTGGGGTTTTGTTTGTGCTTTTTTGTTTTGGTTTGTGGGGTTTTTTAAGCCAAGAAAGATAAATGAGCATAATGGATTGTTCCCATCTTCACGTATTGCAAAAGCACAGTATAAAGTGTACAAACCATAATGTTTTACAGCTTCTGTCAAGAGGTGATAGAGTTGAAGCAAGCTTGAATTGTGGTCTTGTCCAAATTACAGAAAAGAGTAACCAGTCTCTATAGACACAGTCTTAGTTAGGAATGAACGCTAGGCATGCCATCACAACTTAATATGAATTACTAAATCAAGACAATCACAGTTTAATGTGAATTACTAAATCAAGGCAATTGTATAATGGAAAAACAAACCACACAATCGACAGTCAAAAGATAATTGCAAAGAACATGTATGCAATTCTCTTTTTACAACTGAGTTTAGTAGCTTAGTTGTAGTGCATACATGATAGCAATATCTAACACTGAATGTATCTATTGAGATCAATTGCCTTTCCTGTAATTTGGAGAAGAGTGCTTCAGCTCCTGAGAGACTATAAAAGGAGATATTCCTCGTTCAAATAAGTGTGTCGCTGTGTATAAAATTCTTTCAAATACTTCAAGGGAGCTGTAGCAGATTTCAGGTAATAGGCAATGCCCTGTTATCCAAAATTATTTCCTTTGTGGTCTTATCCAAGAAGATTAGGGAAAGTTAGATGAAGTACATTATATTATGCATGGAACGTACTAAAATAGATATCATCAATTTCTAATAATTTCCTCTCCAAAAAAAGACACAGCCTTCTTCATACATCTTTCTATTATGGTAAGGGAATAGGAAAAAACAGATAATAGAAAAATGCAATTTATGGTGAAAAGAACTACTATAGCCTCAATTGATTGTGCTTCTTCACTCATGAAAATCAGATAAGTTTTTCAAAAGCAACTTCTTTTTAGGAGGAGTTGGGGAAACATTCTGCCAGTGCACAGAAAAAAAAACCCAAAACCAAATTGATCCCAACTTCGTTACTTGAACTACTAAGAAGCTGGTTACAACTAAGGAAGGAAAGTTTCATTTTGTCCCCGTAAGAGAAACAGACTTTGCTTACAATAATCAGCAAAAAATTAAAATTCTTCTGTTCACTGTTCAAATAGATCAATGAATCTTTAAAGAAGCAATCTTAAAGAGTCTTACCTCAGCTGTGGAAACAAAGGAGTCTGTTGATGCAATGCTTAATGTATCTCGAAGGCAGAAATCATCCGTATTATCCTTTACGGTAACGTCTGTATGTTTATCTTTAAAAAAAACCACAAACAAAACACAAAACTGGTTATCAGAGCATCAGAAAATTCCATTTAAGTCTGGAAAGTGTGTTTCATGTATACTTTAATGTAGTACTTCATTTCGAAGGCACAACATTGTACTATGAGAGTAAAGCCTCCTATGACCTGCTAACATACATAAAGTGACTGTATTTTTCTGTCTTTAAAGTGGATTTGCAAATATCATCTGCAATGCAGAGAAGAAAATTTCCCCAGGAGTTTTGCCTTTTATTTGATAGACTTCTAAAGACCTCTCTAAAGATATCACTTTGCTATATTGATCTAAATCCTGTTAAATTTTTAACTTGGCTGTGTTATACAACAAATGGTCAATGTTTTAGTAACCAAGAAATACTGTTGTAAATAAAAGTTATTTAAAAAAACCAGATTTCAGCTTCACTTGAATTTATTTCATTTTCTGCTTCTCATGTCTTTTGTCACTTGCTGCTTCTTCAGGAGAGCAAATTAAGTTTTTAACCTTCTCTGTATCCTCCTTCTCCAACAAGCTTTTCCATTGAAGCAACACATCCAGAAGCATTTCCTATAGTACTAGAATTCTTAATGCTTTTAAAAAAACCCAATATTTTATGTTTAAAATCACCTCCAATACAGTTTCTCTCAGTTTTCCTTTATTTTATTCTCCAATTTTAACTGTTGCACATATTACTAGCATACACGGTTTTGTTTTCACTGTACAGAGACACTTTCATGGGATTAAAATCATAAGTCAGTAAATCAGACTTTGGCTTGATCTGCCTCATACTACATTCTCAGTAGAGCGAAGGCATTTATTTTGGGTTACTTACCTTCAGACATTACCATGTTGCTAAAAGTCTGTTTTATTTCCAACAGTCAGCAGCAACCAGCTACCCCATGTCATCCAGATCCGTTGCTACGGCAATACTTCTTAAAAAACACCATTACATAGCAAAGTGGCCAAATGCCAATATACTGGAATGGTTTACTCATCAATTGAAATGCTACAAATCCACATAACTATTATTTCGGTGGTTGTTATGGTTTTATTAGTTACGGACTTGGAATGACAGCTCAAAAATTGCACATAACAAGAAATATCTGTCTTTGAGACTAATCACTGAGGGAAAAAATTGTTAAAAGTTTGGACTAAGATTTTACTAGATTGAGTTAGGCAGATTCCAACTTGTAATCACAACTTCACCAATATTCATATGAAACTCTGACTTTTTCAGATCATTCTTAATAGTTTGTTCTTTTTTCTGACCTCTTAAAACCAAGAGAAAAAGTACAGCACCATCCAAGTTGGTTGAGAAACAATCACATACTGGAATTTGAAGAGCTGGAACAGAAAACCAAACTGTGGTTTGTAAAGCATTCGCTTGAGGTCTGGTCAGAGCAGATGGGTAACATGATGTTTCCTTCTTATTTCTAGCTCATAATTTGCATTAAACCCCCTCTAATATTACATTAAATGATTTTCTAATAAACTTCTTTCACATAAGCAGTTGCTGAAACTGCAATAATACTGTTAAACATAGGGTAGTACAGGGACGTATAGCCTGGTTGCAGATTTTTCCACTGAACCTCTCCTTTTGGCTAAGTTGCTTTCCATAATAAATATGCAATTAAAACAAAAGTTTCTACATCTCACAGCTAAAAAAGCCCTCCAGCACCTGGTTCAAGTGCAATCCAAAGAAATACTCTTTTCTTGATCCTCCCAGTCTGCAGGCAACTTGCAACACTTCATGAGAAATAAACAGCTGTATTTGTAAGTAGCAATGCAAATTACAAACTCCTAGGATAGTAAAGCCTGGACCATACTGATAAAGATCTTACTGATGGCTTTAATGGAGATGTTAAGGTAAGGACTCAACTCTTCAACCCAAGAATATCTCCACCACCCTCACAGGGAAGTCCCCACTATACCATGGCCTGAAGCCTCAAAGCCTCTGGATATTGTCTGGTAATTACTGTGCTGTTGTTGTTTCATATGAGTTTATAGCTCGATGATAACAACATATCCCCAAACTGACACTGAAGTATTTAACACTGGGCTATGTGATTGATTACATATAAATGGAAATCATGCTATTTAACTAAAATTTATTCTGCATATATGTAAAAAAATAATTGGAGTAAATGAACAAACCACAGACTTTCCAGCCCAGCATACCACAGAATCAGAGGTTCTTCTGTAGAGTTTGTATCCAGCCTACTACAAATTACATGAAGCTCTACAGATAGTGAGATTTTTGAATACATCTATATTTGCTAAGTCATAATTCCAAGTTTTCTAATATGGGCCTAAAACTGTCACCTAGATAGTGTGTTTTTAACATGTTAGTTGACTATGGAATATCTATGTTTTCACTCAAAGAAAATTCTCATTGCTACAAAAAAGGAACAAAATTTGCATGTTATGACAAAAAAAAAAAAGATTGAAAAAAGGTTGGTAATGCTGAGTGAAATAATATCCTTGGCAAGTGATATGTGCATACAAAGCACAGCCTCCCCAAAGAAAACAAAACAGCCTTGTCAGCTATTTCTGACTTTCTGGCCACCACCACCCTAACACCCTAAAATATCCTTAGCCAAGCAGGTGCTTAGCAATACCCATGCTGTGCAAAGAGCACGTTATTATGAAAACGTTAGGGTGAAAATTCAGTTACAGCTGGAGTACATACCATACAAGAACCAGGAGAACATTCTTAGACACAAGAACATGAAAAAAAAAGACAGCAGCACAATCAGACTCCTGGAATGAACAGCTGCAAGAAGAACTCACCCACCAGCGGCTGCAACTGCTCATACAGTCATACCCTAGTTCTCATGTAGTCTAATACCTTCAGGAAAGGAATACTAGTGAGTATGTGAGCTTCAAATGTACTTTACTTAGTTGAGAAGCCAGGGAGTTATTTTGGGTTCATTTATATTTGTAGAGAGGATGAAGTAGAGTTTCAGACACGATACTGACCATGGTAATTGCCATCAAGACTCGTGGTTGTAGCACCTTAGAATGCATACATGATTCTAAAGTTAGACTAAGGGTATTAAAAATGCTAAGAATATAGAGTATTGCTAAAGCTTGTGTAATTAATCTTAGCTTCCTAAGATTTTGCAAACGATTATCTATTTGAAATTAAGCAGGCTAAAAACCACCCAGACCAGAACAAAACTACTTTCACATCTATTCACAGAGTACTAATCTAGAATATTTATTTGTCTTTGCTCTGGTAGGTTCGTCTGGTAAGAGAGACCACAAAACCAACGCTGTAAACGCTCAGAGCAAAATCTGACCTTAGAGATGGAACTGCACACAAATTAACTTTTTAGTATTCAATTGGGAAGTATATTCACCATCAGATAGTGTTTTAAAATTCTGAAACTGTTTATATGTTATCTTCCCTCCAACCCTGGATGAAACATGGCATGAGTTTGCAAGTGAGTTTGGCACTTACATGCAGCAGTTAAAAAAGGAAAGCACTTACCCACTGGCAAAGAACTCACTGGGAGTTCAGGAATTTTGTTCTGAGTGCCATTGTTAAAGCCATGGTTTCCTTTTCTCCCCGGCCGTCCCACTTCAGTGGAACATCAGCGCAGTAATACATCACAAGCAGGAAAGGAGGATGGAAAGGAGAGACCTGACAGACTCTGAAGAGGAGAAAACCTTGCAAAGGAATCCGCTTATGAAAAGTCAGGGTACCCCAAAAGCAGCAGAGTCCCAGTGTTCTGCCACACTACCCGCACAGCCAGCCACTGTGCTGCGTGCTAATCAGCCCCCTTAGATGTGTGGCTTCATGCCTGGACAAAGGAATTACAATAATCGAGTTCAGAGCACACAGAAGCATGAATTACTACATAATTCAGTTGCAAGAGAATGTATGACAGTCTTCTAGCTAGTCACAAGCGGCACCGTGGTTTGTCACCACTGTTGCTGAAGCATCCAAAAGCAGCTTTATTTACGTTTATAAATAGTCATAACTCTGAGAGTGTTGACTGACTATTCATTAAAAAATCATCAGTCCTACCAAGTAGCTACTAATGTACTACATGAAGTCTTACAGGATGCACCTAGAAAGTAGTGAATTTTACTTTATGTCATATTTATAAAAAGAAAACAATCCCAACCTTCAGATGGTACCTTCTGATGACTGATCATATAGCAACAAATTAAAAAAGGCAAGCCAAGAACGAAGCAGGGTGCCCACACAGACCATTCTGGATTGAACAGATATTGTTAAATTATGTATTTACATTCACCAGTAACACAAATATCTGGGTTCAAGGAAGTGCCTATAGCTAGAGGCATCTCACCTCCCTGTACATAAACAAAGCTGTTACTGACTTCAGCATAAAAATATATTTCAGGTCAGGGTCTTTTAAAAATATCTAACCAAATCTTGTACTCCACTAGTGCGTCAGCACGTATCACGAGTTAAAGATGTCTCATATTGTTCTTTGTTGGGACCGCTCTGATGCAAAGTGGAGTGACAGATTCCTTTAAAAAAACAAAAACAACACTCCTCCCACCCCCACCAAACCCACAAAAAGACACTCCAGTGCTGTATGATCATCCAGCCTGGCTGTTGGCATATGCTCACACCTCCAGCAGACCCCTCTTGTGAACACACAGCTTCTGCTCACCAGTATTTGACTAGGAACTCAGCAACCAAAGCAGTGGTCTAACGGAAAGGAACAACTGGGGAAAACTGAGTATGGGACAGAACCGTGTACTTAGTATTTGCAATTTTACCTTCCTCCTAGTACTCACAGACTTTTGTCAAGGTAAGCTTTGGCTGAGCTAACTGCTGAGCCTTCAGATTACATTCTTAACAAATACCTTAGTAGTTTTCATGCAGAGAATCATCTTCTACTTTTGTGCAAACAGAACACCAAATCTTACTTCCTCAGTAAAAGTTGACTCAACAGAGCTTTCATAATTGTTTCCAAGTACAGCTATAATCTTTGAGGTCCACATAAAAGCCTTCCACTAC